ATTAACGGGCAATGGGAGGGCTATTTCTCAAGTTCTAAACCATTTTTCTTGGTTTTTCCTTCACCCTTCTTTTGTTTTTCACTTACTTATTCACCTAATTTTTTATTATTATTATTATTATTATTATTATTATTATTATTATTATTATTATTATTATTATTATTATTATTATTATTATTATTATTATTATTATTATTATTATTATTATTATTATTATTATTATTATTATTATTATTATTAGACAGCCCCAAACCAAGCAAAACGAAGCGAGTGAAATAATATCAGAGTGAACTACTGTTTTTGAGCAGTAGATTTCTGAGTATCAAATAGAACGCTTTTCGGAAAGGTTTTCTGTATGATGTCAAGGGGTATGCATTGTGCACGAAACCATGATCCTCCTTCCTGAACACCTCTAGGAATGTCAAAACAGTGGTGAAGAAATGGCCCAGAGTTCGAACTCCCGGTGCCACTAACTTTTGCAACACAGTTTAGCGCCCCTGGATTTCCGCCAAATGGCGCCAGCGTCGAGAAAAGATGTCATTGTTGTGGTTTGGCGGCAATTTGGAACTTGGATCATTTCTTCCCCACTGCCTTGATATTCCTGAAGGCCTTCAGGAAGAATAGACCATGGTTGTGTATCCCTTGCATGAGCCTCTGCAACATGCAGAAAACCATTTCGAAAAAAAAGAAACGCTTCAAGTCGTTTTCTGGCGATGAAAGGCAAGTTTCAGTTGCTTTTGCTGCAGTGAACCTCAAAATTATTTTTGACGCGGTTGCTCCACTAAAAACATATGTCTTGCTATATGTGTGGGTCTGTACTTACTTCTACTGCTCTTTTTTATGACCAAGATTATCAGAATAGGAATGAACACAATTGGGAAATTCGTAGGGCTTAGAAAACCTTCGCTAAAAAGGAGCATATTCAACCATTCAATGAACCTCGCCGTGTCTAGTCATATTATGGTGTAGTCTATGGAATAGATGCAAAAAATTAGAAAAGAAGTAGCGCATGCGCGAAAAAAATAAATATTTTGTGTGTGCAGCGCATGCGCTGCACAATGGTCGTCAACGTCCTAACGTGCGCAGCCTTTCGCACTTGTGAAGCTCTTACATATTTCGTGAATCGATTCAATGTTGGATAGATTCCTAGAGACATTAGCTCCTACTATGCAGACCCCCTTGGAACTCACTTTCCAGTAAAGGTCACGATCCTTCGAAGACCCCATTGAGCTCGACCAGTGCACCATGTTTCCGGGGCAAATTTTCTGATGCCGTCCACGTAGGTGGTCACTTTGTATAAATGAATGTGCTCTTCAATACTAAGTTGGGACCATTCGTTTGAAATTGAGCAAAGTGTGATTGGAATGCATCTGAATGTGAAAGCAAAATGTCTTTTTTTATTGGTCCCCCTATAGTAGGGATCATGTACATTTTCTTTTGTTTTGCTTCCAGTTTCTTTTTCAGTAATTTCTGTTATGTTAATAAAGTATCATTCGATACTTAAAAATTCACTGTTCAAAAACAGTAGTTCACTCTGATATTATATTGAATATTTCACTCGCTTCGTTTTGCTTGGTTTGGGGCTGTCCAGAAATGTCAGTATTCAGCGCAAGCAATTAAGTGGGTCATCCCTCAGGCAATTTTGGGGAGGTGAGAAGTGACCTGCCGTGCGCTACAGTAATCCGCTAATTACGCTACCGTACTAGGTTCCAACTAAATGCACACACCCGACTCTCGTCAATGCTACCCTCTTCAACGCTTGCGCTCTCTCCCTCTCTCTCCGTTAGCAGGGACCTGGGGCGAATATTCAGTCAGTTGGTGGGCGTGCAGGGGGCAGCAGGGTCAAGCGAGGCGTCGAGGAAAATTTGGAAATACGACCCCCCCCTCCCTCTGCCGAAGGCCGAAGTCCATGAAACAACCCTCTTCAAAAGCCGAACTATGAAAAGGTTGTTTAATTCTCCACCAAAACTGCTCATAAAAAAGCCCTGCTACCCCACCGTCCACAAAAAAATCGTTTAAGAAGTACAAAAGTGAAAAAGTCAAAGAATGATCATTATTGATGAGTCCTACCAAACGAGCAAACGAGAAACGGAGCAAAAAACGACAAACTAGTCACTAAAAATGGCATACTATGACAACATCTCTTCTTTATTTATTTCCTCCACAAGACTTACCAAATTCTAGTACTACACAGATTATGGTTCTCAATTTACACGTCCCCCTTTCGCTCAAAGGAAGCCTTGTAACCGCCTTCGCCAGCTGTGTGTTGACTGGACTTTGGCGTTGACCGTGGAGCAGCTTATTTACTATTGAAATTTGAACAAATATTCAAATGATTATAACTTTCTTCAAAGTTAACGAATTTTCAATCTGAAAGCAGATTTGGGAGTTTTGTGAAGAGCTTTTTCTAATCAGTATGAAATTACAAAAGTTATAAGAAATAACAAATTTAGATCAAATTAACGAGGAAAATTCGAAATGAGCACGAGTTTTTACACTTTCCGGAACAACAACTTGCT